ATATGTGCTGACATAAGGCAAGTAGGCGTACAGGCTTGTAAGAATGGATGTGTTTTTTTTTGAGTAAGTCCTCGCTCTGAGGCACGCGCACATAAGTGAGCCCCCCCGAAAGCCGCGGTATAGTTCGCACACTGACCTTATGTTATAACCAGTACAAATATACACTGATGGAGCTCTAATGCCAGGGTCACTCTGCTGCCAGACACATATGAAGTTCACAGCCAAACTCTGAGGTTGAGCAGATAAGTCCTTTCCTCTCCAGACCAGCAGGAGAAACAATGAAATACAAATGTGTGTAATGTAATCTCTGGCTGCATCTCCCACAGCTCCTCTCCTCAGATCTCTGCCACCTCGGGGGTCAGGGCAAGGAGGATGGGCGCTTTAATCTGATTGGCTGCCGTTCTGCTGAGTCATTGTGGCTAGCTTGGACTGCAGTCCCTGACAGAGGTCAGGGATTGGTTACGCATTGACCTTGTCTAGTGGTCGGGCCTCTGCTGAGTGTGGTGGTTTTATGAACAAGTTTCCGACCATGTGACCAGCTCACCGGGCTGAACAGATGCTTTTAACTCTATTAGATAATGGTGGAATAGAGCTGAATGTCTTATAGCTTTTTAGAAAATGTGTTAAAAAATCTCAAGTTAACAGTTTGTGTCACATGATCTCTGATCTAGTAAAAAAATACATATAATACACAACCAAAATTAACTTCGTTTTTTCCCTTTTTTAAAGCTGCAGTGAACATCTTTTCCTTCTTGAACTTTTGGGGGTTTTTTTGTGTGTTTTAGTAAAGATTAGTTAAACCGTTCTTGATTATTGGATTTCTTTCATAGCTCAGTTTCTAAAATTATGAATGAAAGGAAACAAAGTGAAATGAAATGAAAAGACTGCTAAACTCTTTCTCAGCACTTCATTATGCAAAATAGTCATTTATTTTAATTACTAGTTTTCATGACTTATCAATCAATTAACTATATCTAAAAGTTAATTTTACAACCTTGCATTCTAAATGACAATAAAATAACCTTGAATGTACCACAATCCCCATAGCTATTTGAGGGATGGTCCACATAGGCCCTGTTTGATATTAATTTATTTGTGTTAATGACTTACGCTACAAGATTATTTGAATGTTTACACAACAAAGACAACAAAGAGATACCCCACTTTGGGCCCACCCTTACCCAGTAATTGGCCCAGTTTGTCAGTGAAAACCAAAAAGGGTAGTGGGTTGGTGGTGTTGTGTTTTGTTTTAAAGTTTAAAAAAACAAAAAGGGGCCTGATGTTCTTGAGAATGATTGCTAATTTGGGCTCTCTCCTCCGTCCCCCTGCCTGTGACCCAGAAATCAATCTCTGCGCCATCTTAAAGGACATCTCAGTTGCTCAGTTGCATCTAGAGGAGGGAGGAGGCTTGCTGGAGGAGCTATGAGTGAGGATACACAGGTGTATCTCTTTTTAATGTTTTCAGCACCTGTGACATTTAAAAGAGGCGTGACTCACAGCTGGAACTTTCTGCCCTTCACTGTTTGTGTAAGGCACTGTTCTAACGGCATTTCACCTTCATACAGGTAGTTACTATGGTAACAGCCAAAAAAACTCAAACTCAAATACCGGCACACACATAATAATAGACGGTAAATGAAAAGTGTTATGAGTTGGTGTTTATTTCTGCATATATTTAATCCACCAACCAGCATTTATTGTTCTGTTATGAAACTGCCGAACTGACAGTCAGACTGTGGGCAAATGATGCACTTTATCTACTAGAGTCTTGTGTTGTTACGTTGTTGTTGACACATAAGGAATTGTTCAAATGTTATATTTCTTGAAGAGAGTAATATTTTCCATGAAAGTACAGAACACAATGAAAAACAAATATTTATATATATAATAGAATGCAAAAACTGAGCTTTATAGTCAAAGAGCAGCTTTTGGTCATGATTGAAATAAAAAAAAATAAATGTATGACATCTGAGATAATAAAATACAGCAATAGTCTATAAGAAAACAATGGACAGATAATGCAGCTGTGCAGTTGTTGACTCTGTCACCTCAACCTTATTTTGTGAGATTAGACAGACAGGTGAAACAAGACATGACGATTGTCTTGTCTTGTCTTGTCTTGTTATACCTATACATTGTGTGACAGAAAACCAAAAAAACAAATACTAAAAAAAAAAAGAACAAAAAAACAAGAGTTAGGATAAATGATATGAGCACAGTGCAGCCTATTGTAAAGGATTCCTGTATGTGTCTGTGTGTGTGTGTGTGTGAGAGAGAGAGAGAGAGAGAGAGAGAGAGAGAGAGAGAGCCTGTTCATCAGAATCACAATCAGAATTTGGTTTATTGCCAGGTAGGTTTTTAAACATATGAGGAATTTGTCTTGGTGCAGTGGTGCATAAAATATACAAATCACACAAAAATCACACAAGGATGTAGGAAAAGAGTCATTTTTTTCTCTTCTATTTCCCCCCCATCTCCTCTCCTCTCCTCTCTTCCCCTCCCCTCCCCCCTTTTATAAATAAAAGATATATTAGGGGAAAAAAAGATATGGATAAAAAATAATTTAAATAAAATAATTTAACAAAAACAACCGCAACAATGATGGAATTATTACTGAATAGTGATGTAAAGAAATAATAAGTATATTACAAGAATACAAAGCAGCCTCTGTAACCAAAACAACCGTAATATTGAGAATGAAATTAGTAATGATGGCAATAGTAACATAACAATAGCAATAGTGTGTGTGTGTGTGTGTGTGTGTGTGTGTGTGTGTGTGTGTGTGTCGCGCATGATTTGTACATTTGTGGGCGGCTGTGGCTCAGAGAGGGGGAGCTAATTGGAAGGTTGGTGGTGCAATCCTCGGCTCTTCTTGCAGCATGTCAAAGTTTTCAAGAGCAAGACACTGAACCCCAAATTGCTCCCAATGCTGTGCAAAACCTAGAAAGGCGCTATATAAGTACAGTCCATTTACCATTTTAAATTATTTTCATTGTCAGCCGCTAAAATAATAAGAATGAAATATAAATACGAGTGGAGCGCACAGGCCTAATATAGACCCAATACCCTTGTGAGTTGCTAAAGAGGCTAAAAGTGGGACAATAACAACTAACAGATATCACACTTGGGGCCCATTCATTGCCCACCTTAGTTCAGTAATTAGCCTGCATGCTGCCAGTGAAAACGAAAAGGGGCTCATGGGGCCTGAGGATGATTGGTCACATTTTATCACTCAGGCCAAATATACATGGGCCTTGCATGTCACAAATTGTTTGAATGCTGTCACTCAGGAGGTAGAGCAGGATCGGAAGGTTGGCGGTTCCATCCCCGGTTCTTCCTGCTGCATGTGGAGGTGTCCTTGAGCAATATACTGAACACCAGTTTTGCATTGGTGTGTGTGAATGTGCATAGAAAAGTTTTTCTCTGCCATCAGTGTATGAAAAATGTAAATGTGTGTGAAGCACAGTTATTTTTAACTCAAAAGAGTTGTTGACAGATTACATTTTAAGTAACACAAACGAAAGATTATAGATTAAGTACCTTTTACTAGGTATTTTGTTTTCACACTACAAAAAAAATTAGAAAATTAAGTCAGTGTCACTTAATTTCAATTACTAAAGCTACTTGATCAAAAATGTGTTTTAACTTACCAAATTGAGTTAGTTTGACACATTTTTGATGTAAACAGTTTCAACTATTTTTTTAATAAATGAACTTATCTGGTATTACAGTGAAGACTAGAAAGGCACTACATGAGTGCAGTCCATTGGTAGAAGCAGGAATGTGTGTTATAGTGCTTGAACTTGTGGCAGATTTGTCAGAGGGCCTGCACGCCCACACAGGTTATCTTCATTGATTCTGGCTGATCAGACCTGAATTTGAACATGGTTGGAGGTACATGAGCTGTCACTGGGCTCCATGTGTAAATAAGGAGTCCTTTTCCCACTCTGGGAGGTGCAACAATGCTAACAGGAAAGTCAGGTCGATATCGAATAACCTGAGTGAGTTTACAGTGGGTGTGCAGTGTCTGTAAGAAATGCCCCTTTCAAAACCCTTAAATGAATTGCCTTTACTATATTTCTGGTTCCCTCTCCTCGAATACTGTAAAATACTGTATACTTCATAATCACCCTCCTCTAATAGATTTGTACTGTTACAAGTCGTTTTCACTTGGTTCATCAACATCCAATAACGAGGCAGACGAGGTCGAAGTTGTGAATACTTTTTTTTTATTTTCTTTAAACTTGTGCATCAACTTCAAAGGGTAAACTGTGTGCACTCCATATTGTTTTTCACAACAAATTCAAAATTAGTTAAGTGTTCTTTATTTTACTTAATTTTTTTTTTTAAATACATCTTTTTCCTTTTTAAAACCATTTACACACGATTGCTCAGCACTGGATTCTAGCAGTCTATCAGTAATCGGGGGTGTAGAATGATAAGCATCGTCAGCAGCCTTCCTCCCTTCCTGTGTGTGTATACTATATATTTGCTCTAGCCAGTATTATCATCACTCTTCTTTCATGTGAAGTAAAAATATCTTTCTTTAAATATGATTCCTTTACATGATAAAAATAGTTTTTTTTTCTTCTTCTCCAAAACAACATTATGCTTTACCAGAATGCTCCGTAGTACTAATAGTAGTAATTGGTGTGAATCTGCTCCATGGAGGATGGGTGCACTCTGCACTCTTGGGTGTGTGTGTGTGTGTGTGTGTGTGTGTGTGTGTGTGTGTGTGTGTGTGTTTATGTGTGTGTGTTTAGTGTCTAGGAAAGCCTTTACTACCAGCCTGGAGTACCACCCCTCTGCCACGGATGACACTCCTCACGGTGCGTTATCGTGTTGATAAAAATCATTACAAAATTTTGAATCTCTTCGTACAAAAACACTTTTTCATAGAAATTGCATTTGCACAAGTAAATGTGGAGCTTTGCTGCCAAAGAAACGAACCAAATAATAAAAAAAAAAGCCACAGCGGTACAAAATGAAACTTTGAGACTTGACACTGAGCAAATGGAAAGAAACCGTGTATTCCCATAAAGAGTCGAGTGAGGTGTGTTTACGGCAGTAGTGAAAGTCCAGTCCGTAGAGATATAAATAAGGAGTTTTATAAATAAAAACAATAAATACTTTGAATAAATAGAGTTTGTGTGTTGTGTGATTGCTGTGAATTTAGACTTAGTGAGCTGCACCCACGCCTTTCCAAGCTTCATTATCGGTGTGTACCTCCATATAATCTTCTGTTAAGTGACTACAGGACATCAACAGTTCACTATGTATTGCCCCTACTCCTGCAGTCTCTGCTTGTATTTCACCATATAATCTGCCTCTAAAAATCCCCCCCCTCCCACCCCCTACATTAAAGACTAGAAGTGTTAGTACTCTGAAACACAAATAAATGATATCACTTATTGCCTGATGGATGATATACAGTATATCCATTTTCAATGTTGATCAATATCATATGTGACTAAGCAATGCCTCTCTATACATGTTGGGAGCCTTCGTGGCTTTTGGGTTTAATTTAGTCGAGAGCCCGTGCGGTCATTCTATTCACAACTTTTGAAAATAAACTTTACAAATGTTTCTCCTCCAGCGTCTATATATTCACGCGTAATCTCCCTCTTGATGCTGCTCGGCCAGCCTCTTTAGAGCTGTGCAGTGAAAGACTGAAAGACTGAGCAAGCAGCAGCTAAAGATGATAGGTCCAATTCTTTTTTTTTTTTCATTTTTGTTTCAGGGACCACCTCTGTCCCATCTTAAATTTATTTCAGGCTCTCTCTCTCTTTGACTCCTGGGTTTTGAAAATCCTGGCACCAGTTCACCGCCTTGCCAAGGTGGTAAGAGTAATGAGGTAACTCGCTGAAATTTCACCCAGGTTCAAGTTATTTCCACAGGAAATATTGTTGAATCTCTTATCCCTAGCTATTTATAAAGAAACAAGAACAACATTTTGTCAATATACTCCCAAGCACTTCTGCTCCGCATTCTAAATAACCCAACTGTCAAACATTGCAACCCCATTACAACCCCCTTTTACCATTTACCCCCACCCTTTGCCCCAGTGTCTCTGCACACCTCCTCGCTGCAGGAGAGAGGGTGGAAAAGTGATTGAGATTCCCATTTTAGGCCATGGTCTCTTTCCCTGGCAGTCTGCGGTCGTTGAAGGTGTGCATGTTGATGACCTCCTCCGTTTTCACCATGACAGGCGGCTGGGGCTTGTGTTTGAGCCGACGCTGGCACTTGAGGGAAACCCGCAGCTCGTCCACCATGGCACTGCAAAAGGACCTCTATAGAAGGAAAAGAAAGAGAGAACGGAACGTGTTTTAGACTGGTTCCCTTGTCCAAATGTTATAGGCAAGAGAAAAAGCCTGTTCTCCCTTTGGGCAGCCAGTTTTGTACCCCTCCCCCATCACCACCCACAAACTAGGCTTGGGGCTGGTGAAAATGGTGAAATAGCAGTGTAGCAGGCTGGGAATGGAGGGAATGCTGGATGGGACCAGGGGGAGAAGTGGGATGGAGGGGGATGCAGGTCCATAGGCTGTGTAGTAGAGTGTAAAGGCGTGGAATTACTCAACCCAGTGTCAGAATACATCAGTTGTGGATTTGTGGTTGTTGCTGCTGCTCATGCAGGGCTTTTTATTCTACGTGTTAGTTGAAGATCCACAAACTGCAGTGCATTATCAGTCTGTAATGTAAAGAACACTTCATTTCACTTCATTCAGTACAAATATTGGTGTGTAGCCTTTACTTTACTTCTATATTAGTTAGAAATTGCCAGTGTTTTCTATAGTGGCTTTAGACAGTCTTAGATCAGGGGGAACTTGTTTCTTTCACACCCCTATCGCCGGACTAAACATCAGCATTGGACAGTTTTGCAAATCCCCTGATTACATTAAATTACTTTTTAGCAACCTAGTAACCTCTGTGGCTAACAAATAAAGCCAACACAGAAGTAACAAAAACTCCAGTTGCTCTAACGGCCACTTGGGGATCTCCATAACGCCCCATATTAAAATGCCCAATTTTACAGCAGAAATAAACATGTTTACAGTCCGGTACAAAAAACTGTTTTGGTCTCTATAGCTAATTTCTCTATTTATGACAACTGTATGGGTGTGGGAATTTTCATATATCTCACCTGTTTAAGGTTTAAAGTTATGCATATTTAAGAGTGTGGCTGCTTTGAGTAACAGTTGGGTGCCATCACAGGCTGCTGGTTTCAGTAACCAGACATCATTCGGCCCGCCTCAGCTCCACCTCTTTGCCTATTTTTGGCTTAGCTGGGAGCCGGCGGAGCCAGGACTGCCAGGATGGCGACAGCCAGAACTGACCACACTGAGCTTCACAAGGACTCTTCAGAAACCAGTGTGATGGGGACTACATCCATATTTAATCATAGTCTATGTGAGTCGGTCTGACGGTTGATAACCCAGTGTAATTTGCAATGTTTGGAAATCTACAGGAAATGAAAATTCCAGTAACAATACATAACATGCATTATCCTTCCATGGTAATACAAGAATGAATCTTGGGTACGGGTCCTTGGAAAAAGCCCTTTTAAAGTTTTTTGTTCATGCCGTTTACAATGTCACAAGTGTTATCTGATCTATTGCCAAGTCAGCTTCATTCTTCTGTGCCCTCCAAAACTGTTGATGTTCTATGATGTGATAACACTCTGGTTAGGTTTAGTTAGATTTAGGGAACCTTTGTGGTTTGGTCATGGTTATAGTTATACCTCGTTAAGTTTACGTAACAATCATGATTATGCTTAAAAAAAACAACACTGACTGTTGATATGAAACAGCAGCCTGTGTTTGATGTTATGTTGACCCATCCATTCACCAAGACCTCCCCCCTCTTCAGACTTTATCACTCCATAATAACGTCGACCTATTTCCTCAATTGCTTCTGTCATTATTTCCTGACCACTAGATGGCTTTGTCATATGACAGTAAACATTTGTATGTCATTTGCTTAGGACAGTTAAAAAAACCTTCCCAGAAAAAAATGCTAAAATCACAACATCAGTACCACCACACAGAGGTTGATGTTTACAATGCTACTACATTCCTCTGGATGTCTTGCTGACTTGCCGCAATTCAGTAACCTTGCGAGGCAGCAGGACTCACAAGATCATGTGAGAATTTAGCCAGATTTCAATCTATGTGTTTGTGGCCAAACTACAGTGGTCCCGGACCAATCCACTGACACTGTTCTTGAACAACAATGTTCTATCAGAACTGGAGAGGATTTCTTCATTGAAAGACCAGAGAACGGCACTGAAGGCTTTTCTCCATGGAAAAGATCTTTTCATTCTTCTCCTGACTGGCTTCCATAAGAGTTTGACTACATTCTGTGGTTTGTTGATCTGATTGGTTGAATTTCGTTTGTGATAGACAGTGATAGATAGATGGTTCATCCAATCACCTGCCAAGTATTTTTTGAGAGTGCCTGCCCTTTTCCAAACAGTTCCCAATGACAACATCTTCCCAGATGTTTCCCTGTAACAAACTATCTGGCGCAGTCAGGTTAGCAATTCAGGAGACCCTTTTCGGTTAAAGTAAATATAGCTGGTTGCTAATCAGGATCCAGCAGCAACTGTATTTAATTCTAGTGGTGGGTACACCGAGGAGAAATGTGACGGCTCACTTTGGAAAAATAAGATTCATCTCCAGTGGGGATAAGATACTTGTGTGTGTTCCAGTCCCACTCTGTAACTTAACTTGATCAGACAGCTGTATTTCTGCTTATTTTCATTTAAATATTGGCTAGTGCAGCTTCATCCACATACCGTGATTATCATACTGTAGCTGAACATCTGGACACCATGCCAAACAATTTCACTGTATACAGCTTGACTGCATATGAAATACATGAATATGTAATCAATGCAAGGATTCATGCATAATTGAATGATTAAATGTATTCACATATGTGCAGCCCATTAAAAGGAAAACTGATACTCAAAAAGAATGCTGTAGCTGTAAATATCTCTCCACAAAACATATAGTAGAAACATGAGAATGAGACACATCTCAAAATGTTGTACTGAGAAGTATTTTAAGATTGTCTATGGATGCAAATAAAAATTTACCAACAAGTCCCTGGCACCCGCATTCCCTTAAAATAATGTTTATGCCGGCTAGGCCTGCCATCGGGAGCACTGGGAGAATTACTGGTGGCCTAGAGCGTCAGGCCAGTGTGAAAAATGCAAAAAGGAATTGTTAAAGAGAAAACAACACAAGGCAGCTACAGTCACTCAGAACTATAGCCATCCAGCCCATCCCTGGCTGCTTTTAACCGAATGACCTCTGCCTGTTATCACGTGATCGTACACATCAACACAATGTTCAGTCAGTACAGAAAATGGACAACACAGGAGAAAAGCTCGGAGGAAAGTGATGCTAAATGCTGCAAAATAACATATATGTTCACAAGAAAGGGACATGATTAGTGCATGAAACCATGCAAGCAGAGTCAGCATGTCATAATCACAATTACCCTTGTTGCTCTGCCAAGTTGCTTCTTTGTTTTAAAAAAAACAAATAAATGGCACCGACACTTAATCATGCTAAAGCAGGAGATGTGTATGCATGGAAATAATATTGAAAATAATAAATAATGTGTGAGGTGGAAGAAGCTCCAGTTACTCAGAGCTCAATTCCAGTCAGAGAAAATGCCAGATGCAAAACAAACACTCCAAAAGTGCACAAACATTATATATATGAATATGTATTCCTCTAGCCTTAAAACAGCATTATGTAAGTTTTCTACCTTAAAATAACAGGTTCAAAATAATTTTGAATAGGGTGAATGGTGCCTCTGTCATTCCTACTGAGTGCAAGAGTGCAAGAACAGGCATACGAGGCACAATGTGACTTTTGATTCTGAAAATGTACACCAGAACCGGAACTGGAGCCGGGCTCAGCAGCCTCGACGGACATCCTGGCAGAGGTAAAGAGACAGAAGGCGACACTGACGTAAGAAGAGAAAAGGGAGAGAAACCGAACCATCGACATATATAATGATTAACAACATGACAACTCTCCAAAAGTGAAGCCAAAACATCTCTATTGCCCCTTGGTGGCTGACTGCAGTATAGGTCATAAAGACTGCTGCTTCCATGTTTGTTAGCAGATGGGACACATCAATACATCAAAGTACACATCAAATAAATATTTCGCAAAGACGTTTTAGGTTGTGCTTACTATGCTGATGTATGTTCAAGTGTTCAGATTTCTTATCAGTTCAGTTTTAATTAATTATTTAAAGCTAATGGGGGTTTCACCTCATGATTGACAGTTGAGCACTGCTCTTGATTGAGTTAGGCGGACAGACTCTGACTCCAAAGGTGAAAGATGGCAGCCGCTCATTTTTGTAAAGTGGGAGGAAGTGGAGACGTGAAGTCCATCTTTTATATGTCACTACTCTGAACAAGAAATGAGGGATTGGCTTGTAGTTGTTGGAGAGCTTGGTGAAATAAAAGTCTGCAGACAGATGGCGAGCTGGCCTTCTTGCTGTTGGACTAGTCAGTGATATTGGCTGGCTTGCAGTTTCTTGTCTTGTTGCACTTGTTTCATGTTTGGCTGCAAGTTGTTGACTCGCTAGTTTTTGATCATAACACACAGCTAAAAGATTAATTTGCAGCCAAATCACAAACCAATACCTATTCTTACATAATGTTGCTTTATTATGCTTGCTTCAGTAAATAGAAAAAAAATGTTTCAACTGAGCAGCTTCAGTATACAGTAAGTGGTCTGCTGCTTATGTGGACATTGGCCTGGGCTGACGTTAGATTCCCAGCCTGAATAATTATCCCAGTCCAGCTAAATGCTTTTGCCTAATTGGTTTAGAAGGTTTGCTGCCTGCATCATGTTCATTGGCACTGTGTTTTCCACTCTATTAATGTTCTTAAATCTGGTTATGGTTAGGGAAAGATCAGAGCAGTGATTAAATGTTGAAATGAATGTTTAATATTCATCCGACACAATGATCTTAACTTCAACCAGGAGCTTTGAGTTGATTTTTGTTATGTCATTCCCCATCTCTCTCTCCAACAATTTTTCTGCCATCTCTCTACTGTCATCCATTTAATAAAGGCAGAAAATACCCACAAAAATGATATTTAAAAAATGTTAATCATGCTTCATTTCAAGTGGATATTGTAAGGGAAGGACAGTCAGTGATTGAGGGCAGGTACATACAGTATGAACATTTTGCAATTTTGTAGACTGATTCATTAAAACACGTTTTGTCATTAAATTGACTGCAAAAAACTTAACATCTG